AGAATCCCTCCTTGATTTCCGTCGAGTGTCTAATTTTTGACGCTTTGGGTGGGGGACGTCGTCACGCTCTCGAACGTCTTTTACTTTATCACCTAGAGACACTTCCTGGTGCTTCTTCTGGGCCGAATCACTGCAAAGTCTTTCGATTGTGCAAATTGCGGATCCCATATGGAATGGAAGTCGAACGCCTGACAACGCAACAGCGTCGGTCAGCAACCCCATTGAAGGTGTCAAGCAAGACGCGAGAGAACGGAGAAGCGCCTAATGGAAGAAGAATGAAAATTCGTTATAGCGATCAATTGAGGAAATTCACTCACACCAGCGGTCGCTGTTTGTTGGGACAAATAGTGAAGGAAAGAATAAACACCTGGGTCTGCTTCTGTGAGTTTAATGATGAATAATAATTCATGAGACAAAAATGTCCTCGTATTTGCCATGTGAAGACTCAGTAATATCCCAGCCGAAGATTCAATAATTTCTTTCTGTTCCTGCTGCAGTTGAGCGATTTGAAGTTCCAAGTAGAGGGAAGGGCGAATTCCTCTGACTGCCATTTGTTGGGATGGAGTTGAATTGAGTGCGGGATTGATGGGGTTCGTTCCTGATAATCCTGTAGCGGGAAAAACGGAAGCGCAGGGATAGCAAGCTGATAGACGATCCATGTGCCCCGTGATACCAGGAGGGATTGCTGTTAAAGGTGTCGTTGAAATTGGAGCTTGGCCTGAAGGGACAGGCGCGGATGTTGCGACATGACGACTTGATGCAGCGCCGAATGTGATTGCAATATGGAGCGTATCAATGATTGCGGTTCTGACAATCTGGAGAACAAAGACGTGACAGCGGAATCATCTGAGGGAGATAGATACCTGGTAATCAGCCTCAAGGAGAGGACGGGCATTATGAAGTCGCGATAGATCTCCATTAGAGTCTTTGGTAGCAATGTTAAAAACATCATGGGACGCTGAGACGCCGACCACCTGAATTGATGATAGGAGAATGTCGAGAGAATGGAGAAGACGAACTATGAAAATATTTTAGGGGTTCACTCACTGTGAGCAAGAATGCTGACATTTTAATTAGCTGACACAGACATCGCGTTATCAATTTCAACTCTTTCAGCATTTCAAAGGCGTTGGGACGAGGACCAAACATTCCATCGGTGGGATCTGCAGGATCAATTGGAGGAACAGAAGATAGAGGAGGTGAAGTCCAGACGGATTGGCGCCGATGTTCAAAGAGATCTGATGCTGTTGGAGCGACTTCTGAAAAAGAAGCAAATGAAATCAGGGAACAGAAGAATCTTACCTGGGGATTCTTGATGAGCCCTTGGAGGGCGACAACCGGCGATATACTGAAAAGAATGGGAAGAGGAGATAGAGGAGCTCTTTGAATGAATGACAACTAAGAATCGTCGAGTCTCACTTTTGGTAAATCTCGTCGTAATTGGGAAATTTTTGACGATGAAGATTCGAGAACGCGACGAAGAACATCTGAAGCCTCTTTGGTGTCGATGAATCGTGGGCCTTGAGGGACGCCAGTTGATCCACTTGCTGGGGTTGCTCGAATTCTTAAACCTTGCGAAAGTCGATCGACCCATTCAACAAGAACAAGTAAAGCCCTACAACAAAGTGTTTGACTTGACATTGGAAGATTTGGATCGTGAAGATCTGTACAAATGGATTGGGACAACTTGGATACGAGTGACATTGGAAGAGCTCTGTCACTCCCACTCAATAGAACTCGATGATGATCGGTACAATCGTCATATTTTGATAGAAGAAGCATTCGAAGTTCTCCATAAGACCAACTCGTCGGTCCTGGAGTTCCAATCGAAGCATCCCCTTCAGACGCTTCAAGGGATGAAGTTGGGCGGCCGTCGTTCTGTTGGCTTGTCGGATGTTCGATGGAAGCAGATGGAGCTTCGGTCGCTTCAGCTTGATCTGGTACTTCTGATTCGAGACATTCCAACCGATTCCATTTTGAAATTTGCCGGAAGCGTCGTTTTCTCTCAGCTAAAGACCAGCTTGGCAAGCGACGCTCAACAAGATCCGCAAGTTCTCTGACAATCATTTGATGCATTTCTGCACGAACGGAGCGAGTGAACGAAACATCGGAAACAAGAATTCTTTGAAGAGCGTCGTTAGTGCGAAGTTGGTTGATGAGTTCAACGCGCAATTGAACCGCGTAATGTCTGAAAAACAAGAAATTCTAAGAATGATTGACTGAATCGGCATACTTAAGATAATCAAGAGGCTCAATTCCTGGACCCAAATACAATCGATAGTCCAATGATCGACTCAGATTTGCTGGAGTTGGAATGTGCTGGAACTCCTTCCCTTGACTGATTTGGCGGAAAGCAACAATTGCTTCACGCCGACCGAACAACGATTTGCTGTGCTCCTGCTCTCTGAAAACAAAAGCAAAAAATGCAAACCAACCACTTTCAAGGGGTCCCCACTAGATGAAGAGTCATCAAAGACAACAGGAAATCAATTGAACTTACGGGTCAACAAAACCCAAACTCAAACGTCGAAATCCCTCTTTCGGGAAAATTCTCATCTCTCCAGTACATACAAGTGGTCGGGTGCGTGGAGAGAGCCCCACTTGATAAGGGGCAATTTTCAGAATCTCATAAAGACAGTTTGCAAGATCACCGATCGAATTAGACATAATGGTGGAGGTGGGGGGCATTTGAAGCTGCGTTGCCATTGTACCCTGTTGATCTGCTTGGGTTGCTTGGCGAATGAAACAAGTGATAATAGCGAGAGTTTTGAAATGACAATCAAGAAGCTTTCGATGCGTTTCAAATTCTGAAAAGAGGAGCAACGTAGAAGCGACAATTCAGATGAATGAGGGACACATCTAGTGCGACATAGCGGGACAAAGCGGTGACTCAAGAAACCAACCTAACAACTGAAGTGATGGTGGAGGAACTCGGCCTTGCTGTAGTTCTTGATGAAGAAAACTATAATTTTTGTGGGGTTCCAAATATGACAGAAATTGAATTAGTCTGTCAAGAATTGCCTAAAGAGACGATCAAAGATGAAACAGTGGAAACAAAGTGTGACAACCATAGAACAGCAATTGGAGAGCTTTATGTGCTTATGCGACTTACAGCCGCGTGATAACGGAGAAGATGAATATTAAGTTGCATGAGTTGCATAATCATCAAAGGGACATCCATCAAAAGATCCAAAGAATGACGTGACGGTTTCAGTTCTTGTCCATCTTCTAATAGAAGAAAGTCGAGCGATTTATCCCAACGACTCGCAAACGAATAATGGGATTCTGAAGATCTTCCTGTTCGTTTCTTTCCATCTCTTAAAGCAATTTCTGTCATCTTCGCAGCCAGAGGATCAATTCTTTGATTCGTTTCGTCCATTTTACTTCGAGCGACATTTCCTCTTACAACTTCATTCCAAGGTTTGAGCTCATTCTGTACAGCTTGAAGAACTTGGGAATACATGCTGCTTGCGATATGAATGTAGGCGTCTCCAAAGTCGAAATCGCGGTTGAAGAATTTAAGGACGCTTGCGAACATTCGATGCGCGGCATCCCCCGCATGCTCGTTGTCCTCTCGAATAACATCAACAAGAGTCGGGATGAGCTCTTGGATGAAGTTTTTCAGAATGCCTGTCGGTGGGACGCGATAAAGGCAAAAGAGAATGATGCATCTCTCAATGGCTTGGGGTGTGACAGTGAATTCTGGCACAGAGCTCTGAAAGACTTCCTGTAACGAATAAAAAAGTGCGTAAACAAAGGAAGACGTTTGGTCAGTGAATGTGGGAGCTCCTGCAGGAAGGGGCTCTGAAAGAAAAAGGGATAAGAAGGCAGAAAGGGATGTGTTGTCAGAGACGCCTACCTAATGGAAGCTGCGAGAACGGGTGCCTGACGGAGGGGCAAAACACTGATGACTGTCGTGATTTTTGTTGGACTTGTTGAATTGTTGGAAAAACTTTAACGAAGTCACGATGTTGCGGAATGGTTTCAAGAATGAATGCTAATTCGAGCAAAACAAATAAACGAGTAGGAAATCGAAGGAATGTTTGGATCGATTGGCGCGATAATGATGAATCAGAGGATGATGGCTGTAGCAAACATTTTTGGATGTAGCGCAAACCATAATCAATCAAGCGATTAAGGCGTGGAAGAGTGAACACTGTCTTGCGTCTATAAGCTAATATTTCAGAAGAATTCAGAGAAGAAGATTCCCCAATGAAGTGGTTGAATAAATCTTCCAATGCGTCCAAGAGATATTCTCTGCTGGCCTCATGATCAAGTGATTCATCTGCAGAAGCCTCAATTGAGGATGTTTCTGCTCTCCGCTGTTCAGTCGACGAGTAATAATTCTGAGGATTTGATGGAACAGAGTTGTTTAGTCGAACTCCCATGGAAACCCAGAAGGACAGTGCTCTTGTGAAGCGACCCTCTGCTGTTGGGTCCTCCCACGTTCCAAATCGAGGACGATTCGCCACAAGAGCCATGTCTGCTGCTGGGGTGGTGTGCAAATCCGTTGAAGAAGAAGGAGCCAGAGAAGAAGCAGTTGTCCCTGGGGCGACCCCCCTTTGGGACATTCCATCTTGCTGGGACATGGACTCTACAGACCGGAGAGTTTCTGAAGTCTTAAGAAGATCCTATTTTATCAGCCATAATTCGAGCGTATTGGTTAAAGGATTTAAGAACGAATCAATAGGCCTGGAGACTATCTTAAGAAGATCATATCTTAACAGCTCGTTGTGACTGAAGTCGCTGCTGAACTACTGGGCCTGATGCATTGATGCCATGACCTCGATGGACCTCCAAGCGATGAGGGTGAATTACACCCAAAAAGAATTGTTTGAGTCCGACGTTCTGTTTGATCCTATGGTATGATGAGTCTATGGCAGAATGGTGTATGATTGCATACTACGACATGCCCGTAGATAGCATTCTCTTTTCAGCTGCAATTTGAACGGTGGTTGAATGAAGCGGTAGGGAATCCATCGATTGGCGAAGCGAATGCAATGACCCTGTCAACATGCGCGCAAGATGGATTCCCGAATTCTAGAATTGTTCTTCTGAAGGGATTTGACAAACGTGGTTTTGTCTTTTATGTACGTCTTCCGTTCTGAATGACGCGGAAGGGGCTACATCGTTAAATTGAGCCGGCAATGTTCCTATCAGACGAATTATGAAAGCGATAAGGGAAAAGAACTGGCAGCAAATCCGAACGCCTGTTTGCTCTTCTATTGGCATCCCTTGCAACGAACTGTGAGAATTCGAGGAAAAGTTGAAAAGACCTCAGAACAGGAATCAGATGACTATTTTGGTAGCCGTCCACTCAAAAGCAGACTTGCAGCAATTGCTTCAAATCAATCCTCTGTAATTCCTGATAAAGAGTGCTTGCAAATGAGGTTCACAAAGTTGCTAGAAGAATGTGATGAGGATGCGTCGGTTCCACGACCCTTACATTGGGGAGGCTATCGACTCACACCAACATCAATAGAATTTTGGCAAGGTAAAAGTCTCTCTTAATGTTTGTACAACCATTCATATCGCTCAGGCGGCCAATCACGGCTCCATGACCGCCTTGTCTTTACACGGCCTGTCGATGGGATCTGGCCGGTTGGAGAGGAAGGCTGGAAATTGAAGCGATTGGCTCCCTAAACTCATCATTCTTTCCCAACGGCAAAAGCTTCGGAGTGCCTTCTGATTTTTTTATCCGAAGTGAAAGCGGAATGAGTGAACAACAAAACAAAAAAGCAAAATAGATTTCAAAAATTTGAGACCAAGAAAATAAAATAGATCAGCTTATTCTTGTCCGCCTTCTAGCGTCTGCATTCTTGGTTTCAAGATACTCTAGCATTGGAACGGTGAGAAAAGCGCTGATGATATATTGACAAAATCGCACAGAGGACCCAACATAAAATCCACGCACTCCGAATTGTTGATAGATGCAACGGGCTGTTGACCACCCAGTTGGTTTATGAAGTCTAGATGTCGAAGCGTGACGATTCTGTCGAGTGAAGGGTTGAGAATCTTTTGCCAATGGACTTGAAAATGGATTGAATTTGCTGTGGTTGGAGTCGTTGTGACTTCGTTGCATTTGAGTTTTTACCTGCCGGGTTACACACATGGATTCAAGAGACCCAAGGGATGTCGCTTACTGCGTCAACCGGCATAACGACAAGAGTGTTGATGACTCCGACTAGAAATTGCGAGAAGTCAAATGGAGAGGTAGCTCCCTCAGACTCACCAACAGCAGAAGTGATGCTTAAACTGATCCAAGATAAATCGTCCCTTCCAGTTACTTTCCTGAAACGGAACAACATGGAAACATACCAGAGGGTGAATGAGCAGACCTTGCAGTTTGTTTGCATTTAGCATCCGCACCAAGGAAAGAGACCCATGAAAGAACTGTTGGAGGAAAGCGGTGATGCAAGGGTATCTTCAAGCTACGACGTACCCTGCCGGAAGAAAAGCGGACCGAAACCTCTGAAGAGATATCGAGTGAGAGACACTCTGTCTTCAACAATTAAATCCACTGGTCCCGGACGGCTAGAATGAGATCCAGTAAAATAAGGGGGAGGCGATGCAATACGGGACGATGTTCCAATTACACTCCCAGATGACCCCACTGTAGCTTTATGTGATGAGAGGTCTAACAAACCACGAAGGACAGCTGACGGTGGAATTGCTTTATCTCGCGTCATTAGAAGCACTTTTATTCTTTCGCTGAGGGGACAGAGAAGAATTCAACCAAACAGGCGGCACACCGATACTCACAAAGGACAGGAGGTGAACGATTCTACACATGCGATTGTAATACCAGAAAGAATTTTAATAGCAGGAAGTCTTTCAGGTGAAGTTAACAGTAGACTATTCTCAAGAGAAGGCGTTAATCGATAACGTCCATCTTGAGACGTTTTTGGATACGAGGAAGAGAGTAAAGCACCAAAAAAATGCGGAAGAGAAATAATAAGAGGAAACCTGAAAAAAAAAGAGAGAAACGAGATGGTCGCTTGAATGAGACTCCAATGTGCATCATCGGGTGCGGGTTAGCAAGTTGGTTGTTTCTCTATACTCACCTGTAGGATTCTTTAATGAGGGATCGGAGCCCGCTTGGAATGGCACCCCGATAAAGTTCTGAAAGGCCGTTCCTTTGATATAACGAACTGAGAATTTCTCTTCCATTTTTATAATTTGGATTCGATTGATGAATTGTCTTAATGACATCAAAGGGATGTTCTAATGGTATTCGACAAATCCCTCGAATCCCACCAGCAATCATTGACTCTTTAACATCAATCCCATCGATCCAGCTTGATTCAGCTGATCTTGACGCACTTTGACCAAAGGGAACATTCCTTGGAGAAGGTTTATTAAGAACTGGTTCATTGTCTGACTTCTTGCTTGACATCCCAAAAAAGGTACATCTGATTTTACAGTGCGATGTCTTCTCGACGTCATTCAAATCTTAATAATTCAAGTTCGAGAAAACCAGCTTCTCCATTTTTAAGAAACACCCACACCAAACACAGCGCGTTCTATGGATCTGTTCCCCTTCCTCATCTCAGATATCCTGGAAGTCTCCCTCTATTTCAAAAAATATCAACTTTTATATTGACAGGGTCTGTTTTTCGTGCTTTCAAAAAGTACAAAAGCATGTTCTTCTTTGCTCGAATACTGTTTCTAGGGACAGCATCTCCGAACGCGAAATTCTCTACGATATCGACGATTTTGTTTATGAGTTGAGCTTCTTCAAGTTTCCTGATGATGAGGGATCACCCAGCAATGGTTTGGGACAGAAGTCATCCTACGGTGCCCCAGCTGAAGTTGTTGCTGGCTCCATCCCGAATATGAAAGCCCAAGTTACCTTGAGGGTCTTCAGCCCTCATATAGTAGACACCGAAAATTATAGTACGTCGTAGATTCTCCCTCCTTCTTTTCCCACTCGTTTACTTCTTCAGTATTGCTCACCCATATTTGTACATTACCATCGTCTCAAGATAAATGGTTTCACTTCGAATCTTCTAATTCGAGTGATACTGATATGGTGTGCAATGGTGAAGATCTCTCATCATCATCATCCGTTCTTGTGCTTTCACGTGACGTCACTTGTGCACTAGGAAATTCGAGCAGTGCAGGTAAATTTCTGACTATTGTCTGGTCTCTATTTCGTCATTGTAGTGCGCATCGCTCAAGTATTCGCTAGTGTTCGTCGTTACATTATGTGTAGTGGACTCTTCAGCGTGATGCGTCGAGCTGTTTATTTGCCACGTACGCGAATTCAATCTGTACGCCCGAAACATCTGAGAGAAATACACTGTCTAGGCGCGTCATTTGTTCCAGGTTCGCGTTGATGAACATCGTCATATCTGGCTCTTGCCATCATCACAAGATTTAATTCGTATTGTAAAGAGAATGATGTAAAATTCAACTCACTGACTTGACCTTCAGATCATCGTGGATGTATCTCTCTCAGATGAACAGCTCAAGATGATGGAAGCAGTTGCTTTGGTGAAACACTTTTTGCTCTCCTTGATTCATCTCGTATTCTCAGAAATCGAATGTTCTTCTCTGTTCCATGAATCAGAGCGAACTCCCAGTTAATCTCAACCTCATTTGTCCCCTCGTTTCATCTAGTTACCCTCCGGAACTCCACGGTCAGCTGAAACTTGTCGCTAGCAGGACTCTTGTAATTGCAGACTGGGCCGAAAAAACAAACACAACGCTTCCACAAACTCGTGGGTATTTCAGCTTTAGTAAGTAGCAACGAACGAGCTCTATGATTACTCCAAACTCTCAGATGTGATTGTAACGAAACAACTGACTGATTTGAACATTTTATCAATCGTCAAAAGTGGTGAGAGACACATCAATGAAACAAACTCTCCATCGGTGTACTGCAGCAATTGGCCTACGAGAATATCTCAAACAGTCTGTACAACATCGAAGATTCATAGAAAGGCTTCGAAGGCGTCAAATTGCGTCAGATATCCTGAAGCGCTCTCTGATCCATTTGTGAAAACAAACACAAATCGAAACAAATTTGTTTTTTTCCGATACACTGGGTTGCATGTCATGTTCAATATAAAGGGCCTGCTCAGGTCTTTCATCTGGGTCCTACTGCTAAGCATTGCTCCAAAATGAAGCTCAAATGAGAAAAACAGGCCATGTGTGTTTGTCCTGAGCAATCTCAACTGCCCCTGGCTCCACTATTGGAACGAATAACTTCGTGGGACATGGCTCATTCACGATTTCCTATAGGATGTCTACCGTTATTCAATCAGCATGGAGAGGCTTCTACGCAATTCTTTGTTCGTGACGTTCAATCCGTTCTTGAGAACTGCGTTCTCTCATTCTTTTTTCGCTCAATTTTTTATTCCTCCAAAACTTCAGATACTCTTTCCTATGTTAGGTGTTCACTCTGTGGTGTGACGTCATTCGTTTTATAGGGCTTCTTCCCGTTTGCAGGATTTTTTTGATACTTGCCGAAATTCATTGCCCCTTTTATATTTTGCTGCTTCCATCAATGGAGATGCCGAGATCATCTTCAGCGGTTCAATCAACGGCAGACGGCATGCGTCACGAAGCTCCTCAGCGTGTGTTCCACAATTCGCGCAACGGTGCATTCCTGGGAGACGAGCCTTCACAACCCCCTCCACCTCCACAAGAACCTGTTGTTTCCCATGGCTGCTCTGAGAAAAGAGGCGATGCAATGAATGATTCGGCAGGCCAAAGCAGTACAATGCCCGTTTTTTCTGAGGCTGATTTGATTCACTACAGTGCAAATTACAACACTATGCCTGGTCTCTATTGCAAGAAGCCGTCAGGGGCAAATGGTAGTGCACCTCAACCTTATTACAGACCCAATGGGCAACATGGATCACATCAGCAACAATGGACCATCCCCGCAAAGCAGCATCACACTAATTCATATGACTGCTCATCAGCTGGCTCCAAGGGGAATGTCGGAATGTACAACCGACGAGGAGCACCCAATTCTAGTACAGGGCAAACGCCGAAATTTTCTCACAACTATATTGGGAACAGTAGTGCAACGCCAAACAGTCCTCATAGCGCTTCTCAACACGATCCCAGCAATAGCAGCAGTGACGCAGTGTTAAGCAGCAACAATAGCAACTATCATCAAAAGCGTCATCGTAGTGTAAATCATGCAGCTGGTTATCAGAACAAACAGCAGCAAGGCAATTGGAGGAATTGCGATGTGACTGCTTCAAACCTCCACACAGTCAGTAGTGCAGTTCGATTAAATGGAAACAGACGGGGTGATGCTTAGCAGCGTCCCCTACAGCGAAGCAGGTTCTAGAGGATGCTTGGATCGCCACTTCGTTCAACATGTGAATCCAGATGGAAGAATAGTAGCCGAGTCAGTAGCGCTGGGAACCAGGAGTGAAATGCTAGGCTCTGAGACTATCGAAGACTATGTTGCCGGCTTGGGTGGAGGAAAGGGATATTGCCAAGATGCTCCGGCTTTTGATTCAGCTCAGCAACGTCATCTCATGGCACAA